TAAAATTATTTAGGTCAAGGTTCTCTGTGAAACAACCGACATACTCTGTAGAAAGATAATTTAAAAAAATATCTGGAAACATTTTTTTTTTTAAATTGCAAAAATTATAGGAATCTTCAAAATCACATGAAGGTATACCATTGTTTTTACTCTTTGAAGTCTTCAAACCTCAATAAATCTTAAAAAATTCTAATAATAATCGTAAAAATTGATTAAAAGATGAAAGTGCAAAACTTCAAATTCAATTGGTAAAAAAATTGAAAATTGAATGGAATAATTTTGGATATTGCATACTTGTAATCTTATTTACATAAACTTTCCTGATCTCTAAAGGGCAAAAATGAGGAGAAGAAATGAAATGTAGACGACGTTTTTGGTAATGTAAAACCCTCATTTTATTTTAGACCAAAGCCATTTGTTCACTGAAATGAAGAAAGTGTGGGTGGCCGGGGCTAACTTTGTCCTCTATAAAATTATTTATTTCAAAGTTGCCTCTGAAATAACCAACACACTCTCAGGAAGATAATTTAGAAAAATAACGGGAACTAAATATTTTTTAATATTGGAAAAATTATAGGAATATTAAAAATCTAAGTTAGTTATCTACAATTTTTTTTAGACAAAGTTGCCTCTGAAATATAATGATCTTATACTAACCAGAAATTAATTTAGTCCTTCGAATGAGAAGAGAGGGGGTGGGCGGAGCTAGTATTTGCTAAGATAACACTGATTTTGGCAAATTAAATACGTTCCAAGAAAATAGAAGACGGGTGGGCGGGGCTAGTACTTGCTAATATCAGAGTGACTTTGGTAAATAACATACCTTCCAAGAAAATAGAGGGCGGGTGGGTGGGGCTAGTATTTGATAAAATAAGAGTGGTTTTGGCATTTTTGACATTTTTGACTATTTTACAACCATATCTGAAAATTTATTGAAAATATTTTCTTGTATATTTCGCTATTCAGAACATAGCAAATAGGATAACAAAAAAAATTACGCTTAGCGCTTTTTTTCACATCAAAGATTTTATTATTAGTTTCTACTCCCACCCGAGATAAGAACATAATTAGCCCCGCCCACCCACCCGGTCTCCTTTTCAGTGATTTATTTATCCGATCTGAATGAAATGAGTGATCTTATACTAACCAGAAATTAATTTAATCGTTCGAATGAGAAGAGAGGGGGTGGGCGGAGCTAGTATTTGCTAAAATAAGACTGACTTTGGCAAATAACCTACCTTCCAAGGAAAGAGAGGGCGGGTGGGCGGGGCTAGTATTTGATAAGATAAGAGTGGTTTTGGCATTTTTGACATTTTCGACTATTTTACAACCATATCTGAAAATTTATTGAAAACAGTTTCTTGTATATTTCGCTATCCAGAACATAGCAAATAGGATAACAAAAAAATTATGCTTAGCGCTTTTTTTCACATCCAAGATTTTATTATTAGTTTCTACTCCCACTCGACATAGGAACATAATTAGCCCCGCCCACCCACCCGGTCTCCTTTTCAGTGATTGATTTATCCGATCTGAATGAAATGAGTGATCTTATACTAATCAGAAATTAATTTAATCGTTCGGATGAGAAGAGAGGGGGTGGGCGGAGCTATTATTTGCTAAGATAAGACTGACTTTGGCAAATAACATACCTTCCAAGAAAAGAGAGGGCGGGTGGGCAGGGCCAGTATTTGATAAGGTAAGAATGATTTTGGCATTTTTGACATTTTCGACTATTTTACGACCATATCCGAAAATTTATTGAAAACATTTTCTTGTACATTTCGATATCCAGAACATAGCAAATAGGATAACAAAAAAAGTTAGGTTTAGCGCTTTTTTTTTCACATCCTAGATTCTATTATTAGTTTCCACTCCCACTCGATAGAAGAACATAATTAGCCCCGCCCACCCACCCGGTCTCCTTTTCAGTGATTGATTTATCCGATCTGAATGAATTGAATATACTAAACAGTCGTTAGATTGAGGAGAGGAGGGGGTGGGCGGTGCTAGTACTTGCTGATTTTGGCAAACAACATACCTTCCAAGAAAACAGAGGGCGGGTGGGCGATGCTAGTATTTACTAAGCTAGGACTGATTTTGGTAAATGACATACCCTTAAGTAAAAGAGGGGGTGGGTGGGCGGGGCTAGTATTATATTATATAAGATAAGAGTGATTTTGGCATTTTTCAACTATATAATATATAATTAGTTGAAAACATTTTCTTGTAGATTTGAATATCCAGAAGTCGTTTTCGGATTTGTTTCTTTGCAAATTCCTACGGTTTTTGCAAAATCCTCTTTACAGTTTCGTTAAAATTGGAATTGTCGTCACAATGTTTCATGAAGTTTTCACAAAATTCCAGTCATCTGTCGGAATCATCTCCTGATTGTTCATGTTTGAGTTGAACTTTATATGGAAGTAGTTTCTCTTTTAAAAACTTTACTACAAACGACTGGTTAACATTTTCTTGTAAAGCCATTTCCGTCCAATAAAAAAAAGTTTTTTTATTTTATTAAACCAACTTACGAAATTCACAAAAGCGATTTTCTTTGACAGACTTTTGTTCTAATTTTGAGTTATTTGCATTTCTTTTTGTTTCATGTTCATATCACGCTTATTTCGTTTGTTATTAATTTTCTCCCCAACATCAAATTATCAATTAATCGATCAAACTAATTAATAGTAATGCTATCTATCAGTTGAAAAATTGATTAAACGTTAAAAGTTCAAAATTTCAAATTCAGTTGGAAAAAAAATTGAAAATTGAATGGAATGATTTTAGATATTGCATACTTGCAATCTTATTTACGTGAACTTTCCTCATCTCTGAGGTGCAAAATTGAGAAGAAATAATAAAAAATGCACGAGGTTCTAGTTTTTGGTAATGTGAAACCCTTATGTTATTTTAGCCCAAAGCCATTTGTTCACTGAAATGGAGAAGGGGTGGGTGGGCGGGGCTAACATTTTTAATGTATAAAATTATTTAGGTCAAGAAACAACTAATACACTTTGTAGGAAGATAATTTAGAAAAATATCGAGAAGTAAATATTATTTAAAATTGGAACAATTATGGAAATCTCCATACCACTTTTTTTACCAATTTTTTTGTACTCTTTGAAGTCTTCAAACTTCAAAATTTTTATTACTGTGTGATTTATTAGTTAAACCTTTAAGTGGAACAACTTTCCATAACGATCTGTGATTCTGTTTTCAGTGATATGAATAGTTGTTTTTGACTTGTTCCAAACTCTAGTCGGATTAAAGACATATTGTTCTAGATCATCTCGTGATAAAGAATCATTAATCAAATTTGTTTCATTATTATTCAGCCGGAAATCAACATTAAAATTCCCAAATAGGACTCTTTTCGTAGCAAGTTTATGAAGCTTTTTTACGAGATCGCAACATAGAAGCTCTACAATAAGAATGACAATACTTTTTTACATTTATTTTTAAAATATAAAAAAAACATTGTACTGGTCAGAAATGTATCATCAGAAATAATAAAGTTAATAATACAGGGCAAATTCACTGTTGACCAGCAGGGACGCATGTCAATTGCGACACGTGCGGGTAATACTAATTTGACGAGTAAAAAAATATTCTTGATTTACGGCGGAGATGAAAACAACGCTACTACGGAGACGTAATTAGGCCACTAAGTGGTCATATAATCTGGATTTTTTTTTGCCAAAATTTGTATGTCTAGGCGAAAAAGTTAAAGCGAATTTGTACATCAGAGGTATATAGGAGCATGGATAACGTTTAAATCATTTTAATATAGTATCTTTTGAGATTACATCACCAGATTCTTGGTAGGAATAATGATCAGCCAAATTTTGGTTAGAGGGGTATACATGGTATTCCTAATATACACACAAAATTTGACAAAAATTGGTACGAGTGGTTTCTAGATTTTCTGTCTAATAAAAATTTATAAGCGACAGGTAGACAGAAACGGGACACCGCATTTTTCACACTCTAAAGTAAATGATAAGTGGTTTTGACTAAACCAACAAAATATATTAGTTCATATATGCATATTTTAAGACACTGTGTTGAAGAATTTCTAAAAAACAGAAGTAATAAAGTAATGAAAGACCTAGAAACATTCTCATTTCAGATGAGTTTTTTTCCAAAGTATTGAAATCTCGTCATCAAGTTTTTGGAAGAAATGGACAGACAAATCTTGATTAGTGATTTACCATGAAGTGTATGCAAATTTTTAGGGTATTCGGTGACAAGCAGACGGAAACGGAAGACCTACTTTTTCATCTTCTAGAAACTACAAAAGTAAAAGGAACTCAATATAGTTATAATCCGTACAAACAGCAAAATGACTACTAGAAAAAATTGTAAAATTACGAAAAACGCGCCATTCCTTTTGTAACTTTTTTCTCTTTACTAATTCTGATAAAATTTTGATTTGCATGCATTATACATTAAGACGCAAACCCTACACAATTTTTTTTATGACGATCGAAAATTTTTCCGAATTAAGATGCACGTACCTTATCTTTCCTGTGTAAAAAGAAATAACATATTATTCTATTCTGGTTTAATCTACTTTATTGCACTTTATACCACAGACCTCTCCGTTACCTTTCACCGTCTGAAAAGAACTGGCTGAATGGTTTCTGAAAATTTAATGTTGTATCTGCCTATTGAAATATTTTTTATTTAAAACAAAAAAAATAATTCGATTACTAATTATAAATTCTTCGTCTCCTCAAATATTTTATTAATTGGTAATTGTCCAGACAAACAAACCAAGAACCTATTATTTCGTGAAGTGGGTTTGAATGGTAATGTAAAATTTATTTTTAAGCAATTAAATTACCTGCTTCAGGCGTACTTAAAGTAACTGCGATATTTACCAAATTGTATATTTTCCAATATTACTCCTCATTTATAATGTAACAACAAAACCTTATATATTAATAACGAATCTTCAGTTTTTCGTATTTACGTTTACGCTGTGTTATTATCAGAACATGGCAGACAAAAAAAATCTAGTCAAAAACATTTTCGGTATTAATTTGACAGTGATGAGAGTCTTGGGTTTTTATTCTCCTCGAAAATATAAACACTTGTATAAATTCTACACCTTTACCGTATACTGTATGTTCACAGTTTTAGTTCCTATTTTGTCAAGTTTGTACCTAATCATGGATCCACACGTGAATTTAGACAAGGTAGCAGATAATGCTTTTGTGATTTGTCAGCTGGGATGTTTTATAATAAAAATGTTGCCACTTATGTTCAACGAAGAAGAAATCAGAAAAAGCATCTACATGATGGAACACCCAATATTTATGATTGTCACAAAAGGGCAAGAAACCATTATTGAGGATTGTAGAACAACATGCAGACGAACTAGTTTGCTATTTCTAGTTTTTTGTATGCTCTGTATCGTTACTTGGGGCATAACTCCTTTTTTTGAAAGTGGCTATAAACTACCGATTGATATTTGGTTGCCATACGACGTTACGAAAAATTCAGTGGTGTATTTTATGACCTTCTTCTACGTACTTGCAGGTAAATTAAAAAATGATTGATGATTTTCCATTGAAATTATATACCAAGTATTTATTTGTTTAGGGGCTGGAAACGGAGCAATATCAAATGGAGCTCTAGATCCATTAGTTGCAGGAATGACGTATTTTGCGACTTGCCAAATAAAGATCCTTAAAGATAATTTGCAACATTTGGGTGAGCAACCAGAAGCCAAAACGTCTAACAAAAAATTAATTTATGAGCAAATTATGCATTGCGTTTCTCATCACAATATTATCATAGAGTGGGAGCATAACAAAAATTTGTTATTTATTACGTTATATATAATTTTTTTAGGTTTGTAGAAAAGATAGAGAAGGTTTATTCTTCCGTAGCTTTCACCCAATTTTCCGCCAGTGTCCTCGTCATCTGCATCTGCTGCTTTAAACTTAGTCAAGTATGAAACTTTATTAAATGATTTAAAGTTACTGTCACAAAATAACTTTTAGATATCTCCTTTCTCGATGAACTTTGTCTGGATGGCGACATTTCTCTGTACGATGCTTAGTGAAATTTTTTTGTACAGTTTTTTTGGAACAACGCTTTATGAAGAGGTCGAATTTTCTTAATTAGGATGAAATGCAAAAGTCATTTTCAAATACTCTTTTAGAATCAGACACTAATTCAAGCTGTGTATATGGGAAAGTGGTATGAATATGATCTGAAGTCGCAGAAAGCTCTCATTATTTTAATGGAACGTTCTAGACGACCTATGATTGTGACTGCCGGAAAAATTCTTGATTTGTCGCTGGAAACTTTCACTACGGTTTGTACAAAGGAAAACTTTTTTGTGGTTTAATATTTTATTTCAGATTCTGCGAAGAGCCTACTCTTTGTTTGCTGTTCTTAAAAACTACTAAGGTTGTAACTTAACAAGAAAATTTGGACACTATACTTAAGAAATCATATGTATATTTTTTCGTTTGTCTGTGTACATTTATTCATTATCCTTGATGAGAACTTGAACGATATGTAACTGATTTATATACTTATATTGTTATTGATTTTTGCATTCTGAACAATACAATTATAATAAATGACTTTAAAATTTTCTTTTATTTAATTTGTATACCCATTTTATTCTTAGTAATAGAAGCAAAAATAAAATAAAGAATTAAAATAAGAAAAGAAAACATGAAAATTGAAAGTCACAACTTTTCTAAATATTTAATATCTCTAGTATAAGATTTTTTGGGGGAATAGAATCATTTACTGTTAAAATCTCACTAGGCGTATTTTTTCACTTTTTTATCGAAATACCCAATTTTATTTATATATATTTTTCAGTTTACAGAAAGTTTCATCGTACCCCTCGACTTTTGCTTAGAATACGAAAAAATAGGTCTCCTATTTCCGTCCTTTTGTCCAAATTTTATTTTTATTATACAGTTAATTTTCGATACTATTGGACTGATTGTCGTCAAGTTTTACATGCCTGGGTATCCTGTAGATGGTAAAAAGTTAACCAAAATTTGCCTAATCATCCTTACAATGTGATTTTATCCCCCAAAAATTTTTCGTAGTAAGTAGTCGTTGCTGTTTATGAATCCGCCTTGGGTTTTGCCGTAGTCATCCAAATTGGTTTTTGGTTTCTTACACTGTTACTGCTATTATCTATATTTTGTCGGTGGTTAAATATCAAGAACGGTACACCCCAGTATTTTATTATTAGTATTACGTTGCACGTGTCGGGATTGACATAACTGTCTCTGCTTAAATAGGAAAATTTTCAAAAAATGTTATCAATGCATTCATGTTTTTGGAGCAGTGGTTAATCCGTTTCCTATCATGGGTGGAGGACAAGTGTATTCCAGACAAAATATAAAAAAGTTAACCGTGACAGAATGCGTTCGAATGATAGATGGGGACGGAGTATGGATGATTAAAGTACATCAATTAATTAAAAAAAAAAAATAAATTCAGAACGTCTCTTTTATTGTTTTAAGTGTTTAAGTATATTTCTTGTACTGTTACCATAGCGTTTGTGAAGTGGAATAAATGAAACAAAATTTGCAATCATACCTAGAATACATCTCCAACGGTCAATTTTTCAAATGTTGAACTAAAACCGTCCTATAAGATATCTAGTTCTATTTTTTGCTAACCCAACACTACATTTTTGTCTTACTTGCAGACACTGCTAATAAAACAACTATTGTTTCAATTTAATTACAACATTTTCCTTTTTAGAAAATCTGACGCATCTTCAACAAGTCGATTTTTTTTTGTTTCGTGGTTTTGTGTAGTGCATCATTTAAAAATAAAACCACGTATTTAATTATTAACTTCCGATTAGTACGGTAATTACAAAGTATCTAATAGCATACCCAACAAATAATAATTTTCGAAATTTTCCACCTAGGTAATTAACGAACTTTTCTTGAAATCGTTCATTTATAATGCACGATTACGGAAGTTGTGGTTCAGGTGATAATTATCCATTTATTTCCACGAGCTTGTTTGTATTTAGTAGCCCTTCAGACCGCTTTAGCTAAAAATGCAAAGTCTAGCGAAGTCCTCGTTTCGTGCCAATCTAATAGCAATGCAAATCCTTGGATTCTACCCTCCTGAAAATTACAAAAAGTGCTATAAAGTATACTCTTACTGCGTCTATGTAATTTTTACTATTTTAATCCCGCTATTGGCCGCCATGAATCTCCTCGTAGGACAAGAAATCGACTTAGGGCAAATATCAGACAACGCGTTTCTTGTCTGTCAAACCGGATGTTTCATCGTCAAGTTTCTACCCTTCGTGAAAAATGACGACCTGGTTAAAAAAAGCATCTACATGTTGGAAGCTCCAATATTCAATATTGCTACAACAAATAACCAGGAAGAAATAATCCTCGAGTGTGTCTCAACTTGTAGAAGAAATTGTCGCCTATTTTTAACTTTTTGCCTAATCACGTTGATCAACTGGGCCATCATACCGTTCTTCATTCCCGGAAAGCACCTACCTATTGAAATCTGGTTACCCTTTGACTATAAAACAGACCAAAAATTGTACGTACTGAGTTTCCTTTATGCAGTTGCTGGTAATTTATTTTCGAAAAAAATTGATCTTCGAGTTTTAAAAATCAAATTTTAGGGGTGGGTAATGGAGCTTTGTCTAGTGGCGTGATTGACCCGTTGTTAGCCGGACTGACTTCTCATGCCACCAGTCAAATTCGACTGTTGAAAAACAACCTAGAATTCCTTGAAGAATACGCCGAGAAGGAAATACAGACCATTTGTGTTAATAATGTCGAAAAAGAATTAAGGAAATTTCAGCTAATTTATGAAAAAATCAAGTTGTGTGTTAGGCATCATGACGCTATTTTAGAGTAGGTTTGTTTTTTATCAAATTTATATGTCTTATTTTTGGTTTTAGTTTTGTCAACACGTTTGAAAATACCTATTCTTTGGCTATATTTTTCCAGTTTGCGGCAAGCGTGGTCGTGATATGTATTTCATGTTTGCGTCTAAGTATGGTAAGATCAAATACTAAATCACTATAACGATCTGAAAAATATTTTTTCAGGTTGAACCATTCACTTTTACTTTCTTTGCCATGATTTTGTTTCTTTGTACCATGCTTGCAGAAGTTTTTCTTTACTGTTACTACGGGACGATACTTTTTGAGGAGGTAATATTGTGAAAAGTGCCCATTTGTTCGTTTTTAATGGGTATGTGTTCCAGAATAACACTTTAATAAGTTCGATTTATATGGGTAAATGGTACAACTACGACGTAAAATCGCAGAGAGCTTTAATTACCCTGATGGAACGTTCAAAGCGCCCTTTAATAATCACTGCAGGCCAAATTTTGGATTTATCGTTAGAAACTTTCACTACGGTAACTATACTTTTTTTTTGGAAGTGGTATATGTTTAAGTTTTGTTTTTGCAGATTTTACGAAGAGCTTATTCTTTGCTTGCTGTTTTAAAAAACTACTAACAATCTAATATACATATAGTTCGCTTTAGAACTTAATTGTCCCATTTCTCATGCCCTATGATATTTGTATTTTACTAAACGGAACATTTTTTAGTTATTTCTGTACTAGTTTTTATTTCCTACTTATTAATAATAATAAACGATATGGAAAAACTGGTGAGATTTATTCTAAAACTGAGTTAGTATTTATAGGAAGTAGTTTTAAAATGTACATCAGTGTCTGAGAATTATGACACCATGATAGTAGAGTGCAAATACTTTGAGAATAACACATAATAAAATAACTCGGTTTAATTAGACAGTTTTTTAAAACTTGGAAGATCGAATAAAACATATACCTATACTATGTTTACTAAAATCGGGTTAAAGAATAAGTAACGTACAGCGTCAAAAATTTTTGTCAGTCACTATGCATACACAGGGTGAGTCACTAAGCGCGCCGTTTTGGATACCTCATTTATTATTAGAGATAGTTGAAGGACCATAGATTAAAATTATTTTTAACCGTACAGAGTGTTCTATTTTTGAGACGTAACATGCAACAATAATCTGCGTTACAATATTTTATAGGAAAATAAACAAAGGTATAATTATATGTATATGTTGTTGTGTCAATTCAATTAAATTTTAATAAACCAAGCGTTTATAAAATAAATCCGAAACAATACAATTTTCAAATATCAGTATTGCAGTTTTTTCAACTAGAACACTGTCTATTTTATTAATTTTAAACACAGAAAATCCTAAACAAAGAAAGTAAATTAAAATCGGATTAAGATGCAACAAAAATACAGGGCGCTCCATTAAAAAACAATGGTCAAGATTACTTCGACAGAACTTCGCTCGCCTTTGAAGTACAGTCCAAAAAATTCCGCTTCTTTGAAAAATTATAGAAAATTTGAGTTTTCTGATAACCTTTATACAGCAAAATCCAGTGATGTAAATGATACCTCGAACCCCCTGCACAGACAATATGAAATATATTCAAAGCAAATAACCTACAGAAGAAAGTGTATTGTTATCGGTGTACATGCTTAACTTCGATTGTTTATGTTTATACATCGGAAGAATATCACGTAGAAATCTGTTTGATTTGAATGAGCTGTCTCCTCCAAACAGAAGACTAAAATTATTAATTAAGCCACAATGGAACAAATTGTTTTGAATATAATTGTTATTATTCTTATTTGATCATAATTAAATAAAAACGTGCGTATTTATATATATATATATATTCACCTTTTCTAGAAAATGTAGTTCTTAATTTGATCAATAAGTAGTAGTAGTACTTGCTGAGATGAGACTGATTTTGGCAAATGCCATACCCTCTGAGAAAATAGGGAGCAGCTAGCAGTTGCTACAAGTGCTAGGTCCGCCCACCCGCCCGCTATTTTGTCAGAGGATATGTCCTTCGCCGAAATAAGTCTTATCTTAGCAAGTACTAGCCCCACCCACCCACCCCCTATTTTCTCAGAGGATATGTTATTTTCAAAAATGAGTTTTATCTTACCAAGTACTAGCCCCGCCCACCCGCCCCCTATATTCTCAGAGAATATGTCCCACTCGCCCTTTATTTTCTCAGAGGTTAGTACTTGCTAGTACTTGCTAAGATAAGCCTTAGTTTGGCAAATAACATATCCTCTGAGAAAATACGGGTGGGTGGGAGGGGCTAGTACTTGCTGAGATAAGACTGATTTTGGCAAACGCCATACCTTCTGAGAAAACAGAGGGCGGGTGGGCGGGGCTAGTACTTGCTAAGATAAGATTGATTTTGGCAAATGCCATACCCTCTGAGAAAATAAGTGGCAAGGGGGCGGAGCTAGCACTTGCTAAGATAAGACTGATTTTGCCCCTATTAAACTTGTAAACAATTCTTAAACTTAAAAGGTGTTAAATTGAAAATTTCCATTTACGTTTCACAGACTCATCATATTTTGCACATTTAAGATAGGATATATTCAGTAATATTTTGAGGTCACGTCATCAATTTTTTAGGGGGGGATGAGCAAATACATTTTCATCAAAAATTTACCATGGTTATGATTTATGATAACTTTAAAACATCTCTGAGACTTCAATTGATTCGGTTTTTCAGTTCCTGATTAAATTAATAAAATAAATTTACGCATTCATTAATTTTTTTGAGTCACCCTGTATAAGCAAATCTAAAAAATATTAATGTGATGATAAATCACAAATAAAAACTCTTCACACTTTGCACATTTCGGGTAAATTTAAGAATTTAACTCGTTACTATGGAACTTTACAATTTAACACCTTTAAATTTCACAAGATCAATAGAAGCAAAATCAGTTTTATCTTAACAAGTACTAGGCCCGCCCACCCGCCCCCTATTTTTTCAGAGAAAGTCAGTTGCCGAAATAAGTCTTATCTTACTAAGTACTATCCCCGCCCACCCGCCCCCTATTTTCTCAAAGGATGTGTCATTTGCCAAAATAAGACTTAGTTAGCAAGTATTAGTCTCACCCACGCGCCCTTTATTTTCTCAGATGCTAATACTTGCCAGTACTTGCTAAGATAAGTCTTACTTTGGCAAATGACATATCACTGGATAAAATAGGGGTGGGTGGGCGGGGCTAATACTTGCTAAGATCAGACTGATTTTGGTACAGACTGATCATATTTTGCACATTTTAGATAGGATTTATCCGGTAAAATTTTGAGATGAAGCAATTTTTTGGAAGGGATACGCAAATATATTTTGATTAAAAATTTATTATATTTTAAACATCTGCAAGATTTCCAAGCATTCAGTTTGTGTTGTTTTATAATTTTGATGTGTAGGACTTTGTTATTTTATACAATTGAAAACTTGTTTAGTAAAAATCAGTACGCAGACAGACGGACAGACAGACAGACGGAAACGGGAGACCTATTTCTTCGTACTTTAGGGGTCATGAGAGATCGAGAAAACGTAAAAGTAGAAAGTTGACCTACGGACTCGATTACTATAAGTAGAATCCGACAAATTCAGCTCCTTCAAAAAATTATAAAATTTGATTTTACGATTTTCAGCTGCAAAGTAAAAACCAGTGGCACAAATAACACCCCCTGTTCTTCAGCATTAGGTAATAGCAATCTGCAACTCAAGCGTTTATTTATGTTTATACATCGAAAGAATGTCACGTAGGAATTAGTTTGATTTGAATGAGTTTGTCTTTTCAACACACAGGACTAATGAAAATGGGTACAGACAGAGAGACGGAAACAGGAGACTGCTGGGACACTATTATAATACGTCCTTCGCTTACGCTCGGGAAGTAAAAACTTTAAAATCGATAATTGAAAAGCGTACTATTTTTTAATTTTTTATAGACATATAGTATATTAACCCTTAATTTAAGCTTAACTACATCAAAGGGTGTATCTCTCTTTATCCTGTCCACATTTTTTTGTAACACACATGTTAAAAATAACCTTATTGCAATTTTTTTTGTGAACCATTGCATTAGTAAAAAATGTCAAGACAAAAAAAGGACACTCTTTATAGTTAAAAATTAGTCTCCGACTTTTTTTCTACTCTCGATAATTGGTGAAATGTCGGGGAAGGCGCTCTTAGTGACTCACTCTGTATACACAGGATTTACAGCCACAGTTTATTTTTGAAATGACGATGCGACGTTGTCACGTTATTTCAGTTTTTTTTGAAATTTTTTAGCACTTGAGGGGTTCACAAAAAATTCCAAGTGGGTTATTCTTAAAATCAACTTATAAAGAAAGGTGCCCGCTTTGTTGTGGTGTAATGAGATTAAATTTCCTTATACAGAGTGTTTATAAAATATTATTATTTACAAAATTTTCTTGATATGTTTTTTAACATATTGGTATAGGTATATTTGATAACATGAATTCCAAATGATTTTCATTTTTTTCTTACTTTTGTGAAAATTAAAAACACATTTTGGTTTATTTGTGTTACTAATGTCAAAAAATTCAGACTGTCAAACCTCCAAAACATTTGAACGAATTTTGTTTTTTCTTTTATTTTAAAGGTGATCAAAATTTACTTCGATTCCGGATCCTTCATTTTTGAAACAGAGCCAATTTTGGTACTGGCTATACTAGAAACGAAGAAAATTCATCATCAATAATTCATTACAAGTTATAATTTCTATCTATTGAAACATAAAGCTCAAGACTAAAGCTCCAGATTATTATAAGGGTGAAATTCAACCTCCTAATTCTTCTTCTGAATTCTACTACTCTTGATCTGAATGAACTCTATTTAGAACTGCAAAATATGACCAACTGGATTTCACGATCTAAAAATCATACAGTGTAGACAAAATAATATCGATTCTTTTTGACCATACTGCCATAAATGTTTCCAAAGACAGCGCAAAATAGCCTCCAGCATACAATTTCAACGAAATTTGTGACCGTGCCATAAAAAACAACAAATTGGTCCCGAAATTTCTGGAACAACCGACCCATTCGCAAGAATAAGCTGACTGTGTAAGTTTTTCACTCTACGACAGAGAAAAACTATACAAGGAATAATTCTTTCAATTATTGTTACTTGAATTATAACTTCGTTTCCATAGTAGCACCACAGAAAAATTTCCAAGACCATACAACCTTGATAAAGCGCCATAGATAAAAATTGTAAGCTTATGACTGACACCTGAAAACTGAAAATGATAACATATTCAGTAGTGAATATTTTAAGAGTACCAAGCTCATTTGAAACATTGTTATGCAAATAATAATAACACTAACAACAAACTGGCCCATGATGCACGTCGTAAAAAGCTCAGTCATGTTTTCAGAAAACCTGAAATTTTATCATTATATTTATTTTATTTTTTTACAAATTATACACACTGACTGGATTATATTCTTGTGATGAACTATATTTTTAATAAGTCCTTCTTCAATATGATTAAGTGACGTATCTGTACACTTTTGTTTAAGATTTTGAAAAGAGTTATTTAACAATTTCAGCTGTCCCGATATCACCATGATTATCCCAGACAAGAAAGTATCCATGCTGACATTCGCTAACCCATTGATCATAGCACCCATGGTCAAATAAACATAAACACATTCAAATATAGGAGATTTTTGAGTATCAAACGGGAACCATCCACTCAATGGTAACTCTGTCGTTTCTTCACCACCATCTTTGTCCAACAAGGGAAAAACCCCCCACAAAACACAAGTAGCAACACACATAATTAAAAAAATTTTAGTGAGTATTCTCGACATTTGCACATCTTCCATTAACAAATTATACTGTTGTTGATTTTTCGGCTTAAACTCTTCTCTGTTTAAACTGTTAATTAACCGTCTCACTCTAGAATTGTGAACAACAAAAACGTACAGCTTTAAAGCTTGCACTAAATGTGTCAAAAGCAGGAAAGACGCTTCGGTCATTTTTTCAATGTCCCCGAAAACGACTACCATGTTGATGATTTCACTCACCATGAAGAGAACAAACATGGACCCTACAAACAAAAGTGCGTAGGTGTAATAAATCACCTTCATGAACGTTGTTGTAAAATCGGGACAAAAGTAGCCGAAGAATTCCAGAGATTTTACATTCAGTTTAACCACGTCTCTTACGTCAAAATGTTGCAAAGTCTCGACGTCCATTTTGCTCGTTACAGTGGAATTAATTGCAAATTGATATCCTTATGGTGGATAAATACCTGTCTTTGCATGACTGTATATTACACGGTGATTAGACATTATTTATTATTAACGGAGAGCCTGTAGCAATGGGTGTAATCTTGTTAAACTGAATTATCTATTAAGGTTAATTCCATTTAAGGGCAGTTTAACTTTATTACTGTCTTGTCAAGAGGAATTAAGATGTGAAGGGTTGGAATTGAAAGCGCATCGCTGGTGGTTATTGATATTAGGATGTGAAATGCTCAGTCAATTAAGTATTCTTTTCACCCGTCCGTCACAATTGTGCTATAAAATTTATAATCATTCGATTCGATATCTAATGAGGCTATCAACGTACATAGCCATTATCGTTGTGGGTGGTTTTGAAATAATCATTATTCTGAAAAGTGTGTAATCTACCAATTAAATTCATAAGGCTGAGTTTCTCAGAATTGTTTTTTTTTAAGATTACGATTAAAAAGAATAAGATGGACAAGGTCTCATGTTATTAGGCAGAACTTCTCTCGCGGCTCGAACAAGTTGTTGTTATAAATTTGGATGCTTAGGGTAAAAACTCGGGACCTATTCATAAACCACAAGTATAGGACTATGTTATTTTATAAAAATAAAATAGCGTTTATAATGTAAAATTTCATACATATATATGTTCTTCTTAAAATAAGTGTAATAAGTGTAAATATTCTAGAGTTCTTGAACTGTTGAAAAAACAATAGAAAAAAAATCCATACATTCCACTAAAATAATATTTAAAATTATTATATTCGTTCCTTTTAAGTTTTGTAAAATAGTACATCAAATTTGAAAACGATAAAGAGAAGACATTTTGAGTTTTTTTTTTAGATATACCTATCAAAATATGAAACGAACTGTTACCTGATGAGCACATTTCCGTAACGATTTATTTTTTTAAAATTAAAAATCTTTGTACTTAGTTCTCAACTCCATATCTGAGATCTTTATTTCCTGCCTGTAGAAAAACATTGTAATAGAGTCGATGTGACAAATAACGAATTCATATTTTCTCAATGTTTTATGGCTTCTAGAGTTCAGTTATTCCGCTGGACCGATTGTTATGAAATTTTTGACATATTTTAAGAATATCTGACCAAATTTGTCTGACCTCAGTTTAAAGCTTTGTTAAATAAATCTGTGATTAGTTTAGTCGAATTACCTCGTATTGTAATAATAATAATAATAATGCCATCCGGCTTTACTCCTTTTGTGTTTTCTCGACATTTCATGACTCTTGTAGTAGGAAAAATAGGTCCCTCGTTTCCTCCTGTCTGTTGCATGCTTGTCGAGTGTGTTAACGTTTATTAAACGGATATCACAATCTATTAGACCTATTCTTTAAAACGCTAACCAAAATAATAATTTAATGATGCCAACTCAAAATTTTGCTTAGTAAGTGTCGTTTTTATTCTATAAAATGATATACTCCATTTCTTGTGATTTATGAATCCAATTTGAGTTCTTACCCTAAAAATCCAAAAAAATACAAATTATATTTTAACATTTTATACCAGTAATCCGAAATAATGATGAAATGGCACAGTTGTTTTTTGTGCCAAAAGATTATTCAAAGAAAAACTGCGTACAAGGTGTTCAAAAAATTGTCCACCAAATCTATGACACTTTGTTCAGGACAGTTTATGGAGGACAGAAAAAATAATTTAGGACATTTTTCTGCCCAAATGTAGAAAACAGTCTTTCAATTTTTTTTTTTAATTTCGCCATGTTTTAATTCACTATTGTGTGTTGTGGTTTGTACTTAAAATGATCGCCCTTTCATTATTTACGATAATTTTGAAGGTATTTTGTCTTTATACATCGTATTCTTCATTTTATAACATAACAAGAAACTTAAAATCCTCACAACAGGGGCTAATTTTTACGTTTTTTGATAATTCTGTTTAAATCGACATTTTGTTTTTGCAAGTAAACGTGAAACTGACTTAAGTTTTTTTTAATGAATTTTCTCGAGCTTAAACTTGTCAATTTAATAATATGCCGTTGACATGGTGCGCTATTTTTTGAACACTTGTATAATCGGAAAAACAACCCAAGGTTAAGCCCCACCCACCCGCCCCGATCTCAGTTGTGATGAATTTTTCATTCGTTGTCAAACTGAGGGGCGGAGCTTATTTTCAAAATGCATTTTACAAAATTTACCATTGTAACCATGTTTTAATTTTCGTGTTGAGAAAAGAAAGCTACGTATTAAAAAAAAGACGAAATAAGCCCCACCCCCGCCCTAACTTATTTGTGATGATTTTGTTTATTCGTTGTGAGCCGGTGAGTGGAGCTTACTACTTGTAAAATCCTCATTTTTTTACAAGAAACTATGATATGAAATATGCTCTTGAGTAATCGTATTGTTCAAAGATATGTATTAAGTAAAAAAAGAAAGCCAAAGATTAAACCCAGCCTACACCCGCCCCGATTTCAATTGTGATAAGTTTTCATTACATTTCCCTACAAAAATTTATCATTTTGAACATGTTTCAATTTGCTTGTTGCGAAAAGAAAGCTACGTATTAAAAAAAAGGGAAACATATAAGCTCCGCCCACCCGCCCTGTCTCACTTGTGATGATTTTTTTATTCGTCGTGAACCGGGAGGCGGAGCTTATTTGCAAATTCCTCCTTATTTTACAAAAAAATACCATATGAAACATGTGATTAAGTTATTGTGTTGTCCAAAGTAAACTATATGGGTTAAGTATGAAAGAAAGCCAAAGAATAAACCCCGCCTACACTAGCCCCGATCTCAATTTTGATGAGTTTTTCGTTCGCTGTCAGACAGAGGGGCGGAGCGTAATTGCAAAATCTATATTTCTCTACAAAAGTTCAGCCTTTTGAATACGTTTTAATTTTCTAGTTGTGAAAAAAATGCTACGTATTAAAAAAAGTCAAAATATGAGCCCCACCCACCCGCCCTATCTCAATTGTGATGATTTTGTTTATTCGTCGTGAGCCGGGGGGCGGAGCTTACTTGCAAAATCCCCACTTTTCTACGAAAGTTACGGTATGAAACATATCCTTTAGTAATCGTGTTGTTCAAAGGGTGATCAAAAAATTGCGCACCAAATCTATGACACGTTGTTTAGGACACTGTTTAGGAGGAGAGAAAAAATAATTTAGAAAATTCATCTGTCCAAATGTAGAAGACAGCCCTTCGATTTTTTTTTTTTTGAAATTTCACCATAACTTAATTAATTATTTTGTGCTGGGTATCTAAAATCGATCGGACTTTTATTATTTAAAATAACAGCGGCCAATTTTTGTGCTGTAAGTAAACGTCAAACTGACGTAAGGAATTTTTTAATGATTTTTGTCCAGCTTAAACTTGTCAACAAACTTGTGATACATTTTTCGATCGTTGTCAGACAGAGGGGAGAAGAGGGCTACGTATTTAAAAAAAAAAAGGAAAATGTAAGCCCCGCCCACCCACCCTATCTCAATTCTGTTGATTTTTTTTATTCGTCGTGAGCCAGGGGGCGGAGCTTACTTGCAAAATCCTCATTAATCTACACAAAATTACTATATTAAACATGTCCTTAAGTAATCCTATTCAAAGGAAACTATATGGGTCAAGTAACAAAGAAAACCAAATATTAAACTCCGCCTACACCCGCCCAGATATCAATTGTGATGAGTTTTCCATTCGCTGTCAGACAGAGGGGCGGAGTATAATTGTAAAATATGTATTTTCCTACAAAAATTTACTATTTTGAACATCTTGTCAGCCTTGGATATTGAGAACAAAAAAAAGGCAAAATATAATATAACGTCTCATTGGCTACACTTTTTTCTTACACTGTGACTGGTATTATCTATATTTTCTTAACTTATCGACCTGTACTTATCATAAAATAATAGACAAAATTTCGCAATACCAAATTTCTAATTTCTCGAAGAATTTTTGGCACAAAATTTTCAAATTGAAAATTTTAAATTTGAAATTTTAGATAAAACTCTTATGTACTTTGCCTTAACGCAACTGTAAAAAACCTGTAAGATTTAAACTTTTTAATTTATACAGGGTGATCATTTTTTCCAGTGAAGTTTTTTTGAAAATTTTTGTTTTTTAATTTTATCCAGTCGCTTTGAGAATCAGTTATCAGCACATTTTTTGTAAACACCAAAATTTCACGACAATACCGAATGATTCAAAAACATAAATTCATTAATTATATAAACTGGAATAAACGCATACACAGAAATTTCAAAAATTTAATATAGATTTAACTTTTAAGAACTGGAAATTTTTGGGTTAAATTTGTCGTCTGTTAAATTACATTTTTTCTTTTAAAACCATTCCTAACTTTTTACAAATCGGCTAATATTTTATGCAATGAAATCTCTTCTAAAAAAAAAAGTTGAGAACAGTAAAGAAAAAATTATTTTTGTCATTATTTCCAACTTATAAAGAGACACAGAATTTGAAAAGATTAACTAAGTAATTAATTAATAAATTAAAATTAAGAAACATTCAATTAAATGTAACGAATTAGTTTCGACAGTCGCATGGGTTTATATTCAAAATGTTCTAGCTCCAGTCAAAAAACGGATGTATACAAGAAAGCTTTAGAAAATTCTGTTGATTTTTATGTTTCTGGGACCCTGCAGCTGAACATTATATGAAGCATAACTTAGAATCTAGGAATATAGAATATTAATCGGATAAGAACACTCCCTACACATTCTTCTCGATGGTTTAATAAAATATTCCTCTCCCATTTAGACATGAATCGTACTTAAAGTATAATGTGATCAAAGCTCAAACTAAAACCAGTTTAAAAGCTGACAATATTTAGTTAAAAACATATTACAAATCATTAAATATGGTGAAAACCTTCTAATTTAACTCAAGTTAGACAAAAAATTTTACCATTTTTAATTTTTGTGGTATTCAAATTTCCACTCATTATTTATTCCAAACTAAGCTTTGTTTTCTAGA